ATCAAGAGCTAATGATACTGAAGGAAGAAGTCCAAGGTGCACTGAAGGAATTGGCAAAGAACAAGGCACCAGGAATTGATAGAATCAAAATTGAAATCTTTCAAGAAAGTGAGGCATCATAGAAGGCACTCACTCATCTATGCCCACAAATTTGGAAGACAACTATCTGGCCAACTGATTGGAACAGATCCATATTTGTGCCCATCCCAAAGAGTGGTGACGCAACAGAATGCAGAAATCATCGGACAATATCTTTGCTATCCCATGCAAGTAAAGGTTTACTAAAAGTAATAACAGAAACGGCTACAAATATACATTGACAGAGCACTTCCAGAGGTTTAAGCCGGATTCAGAAGAGGCTGTCGAGTGAGGGATATCATTGCTGATGTCTGATGGATCTTGGCTGATAGCAGAGAATACCAGAAAGATGTTTACTTGTGCTTTATTGACTACACAAAAGCTTTCAATTGTGTGGCTCATGACAAGCTATGGACAACATTGTGAAGTATGAGTATTCCGGAACACTTAATTGTGCTCATGAGGAATCTGTACATGGACCAAGAGGCAGTTATTCAAACAGAGCATGGGAACACTGAATGGTTTAAAATTTGGAAAGGTGAGTGACAGGGTTGTATTCTTTCACCAAACTTATTCAACTTGTATGCTGAGCAAATAATCTGAGAAGCTGGGTTCTATGAAGAAAAACGTGGCATCAGGATTGGAGGAAGACTCATTAACAACCTGTGATATACAGATGATACAACCTTGCTTGCTGAAAATGAAGAAGGTTTAAAATATTTAGTGGTGCAGATCAAAGAGCACAGCCTTCAGTATGGATTGCATCTCATTGCAAAGAAAACAAAAATCCTCACCACTGGACCAGTGAACAACATTCTTATCAACTGAGAAACGATTGAACTTTTCAAGGACTTCATTCTTCTTGGATCAACTATCAACACTCACGGAAGCAGCAGTCAAGAAATCAAACGATGTATTGCATTAGGCAAATCTGCTGCACAAGACCATTTTAAAGTGTTGAAGAGCAAAGATGCCAGCTTGAGGACTAAGGTGCACCTGACCCAAGCCATGGTATTTTCAATAACCTCATATACATTCGAAAGCTGGACAGTGAATAAGGAAGATCATAGAAGAATTGATGCATTTGAGTTATGGTGTTGGAGAAGAATTTTGAAAGTGCCATGGGCTGCCAAAAGAACCAACTGATCTGTGTTGGAAGAAGTGCAGCCAGAGTGCTCCTTGGAGGCCAGGATGGCCAGACTTCGTCTCTCATACTTTGGGCATATTGTCAGGAGGGACCAGTTTCTGGAGAAGGATATCATGTTTGGTAAGGAGGAGAGAAAGAGGAAGACCCCCAGCGAGATGGATTGGCCAAGTGGCAGCATCAGTGGGCTCAAGCATGGCAATAATTGTGAGCTTGGCCCAGGATTGGACAGTGTTTCTTTCTGCTGTGCATAAGGTCGCTGTGAGTCGGTAGTGACTCAATGGCACCTAACAACAACAACAAACTTGATTTTCAGCCAGTGTACCTTGAGTGCAGCCATCAACCACCTGCGAGTGGAGGATGGGGTATTGGTATCAGGCTGAACAGGACTCAGTGGGGTTCCCACCCTGAGACAGACTGAGAAGGGCCTGGTGGCCTACACACACTCTTCACATACCAACTATCTCCTTATATGACATTTTGCATTGACAACAATAGCAAATTTTGCATTGATAACAATAGCAAACAATCTACCCGACTATTTTGCACATTAATGATGTACATCTGGCAGTAACAAGATCAAGGTGTGAAGTAAGAGTAACATAGACTGTCATGGTTAATGACAGTCATGGTTAAACCATTGGCCAGGCCATGGTTTGTAGTGGTTTGGCATTTCTGTAATGTTGTAAGTTGGCAGTTATATAATGATGTAACTCGGCAGTTATGTAATGTTGCAGTCATCTGCATTTCGTGATCTGGTGTGGTTATCCTCATTTTTGCTTAATGCTGATTTTAATATAATGACCTGGTCTTTGGAACCCAACCATGTTCTTAAGTGATGAGTGGATGTACTTCCAGCCAGTGAAAACGCTATCGATGACAGTGGTCTGATCCTGCAGCTGATTAAAGGGATCAAAAGGCCAGGCAACTTTCATTCTGTTGTGCATGGGATAGCCATAGTCAGATGCTGGCTTGATGGCAGTTAACAAGAAGAAGAAGATAATAGTATATCATACACATAAAATACGCTCATAGAATGTTAGAATGCCTGAATAATACAATTCCACAACACTAGATTGGATGCTTGCTAGCTGCCAGGCTCCCACTCAGGCACAGGGGACAGAGAAGCACAGATCCCATTCCTGCTTTTAGGGCCTATGTTTGAAGTCTCCGAGACCGAGACTGAGAAAGGGCAGCATTAGAGCAAGGCATCTGACGAGGATCCATTAGAGAGACTGGAGGAGAACCTGGAGAGAGTGGGGTCTCAAGAGAGAAGAGGATGCTTCAAGCAGGGTGTGCACAAATCCCAGGTCTAGAAAGTGTCCTGGGATTTAGTAGCATCACCATGACTGGCACCCTCAATGATGTGGGAACCACAATGTGGTGAGAAATCCGGTGACTGAGTGTAGAGACGAGTCTAGAAGGTGAGGAAGTGGATCCTGGGAGTGAGGGCCCCTTGTGAGATGGTGGGAGAGGAGCAGCAGCTGGAGGTGGCCAAGCTCCCTGGAGCAGGACTGTGTAGGGGGGGTGGTCTTGAGGAGGTCCCAAGACTCAGTGGTCAGGATGGATGGGAGGCCAGAAGGGAGTGAGTTGGGCGCTGAGCCTGTGGCCCTAGGAGGTGGTGGAAACCTGGGAGGAGAAACAGATTGAAGTCATGTGTGGCACTTTTCCAGCTTGGTTCTGGGTGGGCAGGTGCCTTCAGACCTGAGTGGACAGGGATGGTGAAGGGGAGGTGACTGCTTAGATCTGCTTTATTGGCATTCTGCATAAGATTTCATTTGATTGTAAGTTTCTGCTCTCCTTCCTGCCAGCTTTTTAAATTTATATCACTGTAATCAGATATGGCATGTTAATGCTAAAAGCACAATGACCTATGTTTGTAGGTTTGGAAGCCCGCTCAGGCCAGCTCCCATTGTCCATCCAGGGCTGTAAACAAAGGCTCAGGGCTCTGGCCTCAATAAACAGGGACTTCCTACCCTCACATTCCAGCCTCAGGATCTGGAAGTGGTCCTTGCAGCCCTGTCCTTGCCTCTGCCAGGCATCGCTGTGCCTTCCCAGGGTGGGGACTGCCTGTGGTTCTTCTCCCCCCACCTGGCCTCACATCGGTTACCAAGAGAATACTGCTGGTGGGTGACAGATGGCAGGCCTTCTTGAGGCTTCCTGTCAGGGCTGTGAATGATGTCAATGGGTCTCTCTGACTCACCGTGGAGTTTCCCTGGGGCTGGTCATTCTTGACAGAGGCTGAGTCATGGCACAGAATGCCAAAGGTGCCACCTTTCCTCTGTGACAGAGTTCTTATTCGTGTCAGGAGTCAGGAGTCCTTGGTTCTCCTATGGCTCTGTCCTGGCCTCACTATGTGACTCTGGGCAAGTGTCTTTCTCTTTCTGGGCCTGAGTTTCCAAATGACCTTGCTAAAGGGCTTAAATTTCCCAGTCATTCCTGGGAGCAGCAGTCAGCTGACTCTGGATGGAACTATGAGTGGAGATTCCCCAGATGGCTCTTCCTTCCATGGGTTTCTTGTGCTTAAACACGACTAGACCCTCCCGTCAAGGATCCCCCATCACCACCAGCTCTTTGGGGAATTATCTAATGTGTGCTTGCCCCTCTAGACCAAGGTGGTCAAACTATTTGTGTAAAGGACCAGATAGTAAACTTGGCAAGCCATAGGTTCATATCACAGCTACTCAATTCTGCCATTTCAGTACAAAAGCAGCCCTAGAAAATTTATTAATGAATGGGTATTTGTGGTGTAGTGAATTATCTACTGTCTCTTCTAACCATGGTCTGTAATTCCCACCAAACTACATTTCTGTCCTGCTGGGTCTGGGTAAGAGAAGGTGGGAGAGGATATGATAGGATGACCTCCCTCAAGTGGAAGCTGTGGATGTTAGTGGAGTTCATTGTCATAGTAAATACTTGACACTCTAGCATGGGTATGAAATGAACCACCTCAGAAGCAGGAGCAGGGGAATTTCACTACCATCAAAGAAGAAGAGCCAGGGGGGCAGTATGTCCTTTGGGCCCTGAGGTCCCTGCTCATTAAACCTGCTCGACCTAAGGACACCACTGTCTCCATCATCACCATCACTGTCATTATTACCACCCCTGCTACCACCACTCCTCCCAGTACTGCCCCCACTGCCTCCATGATCACCGTCACAGTCATGATCATCACCTCTGTGGCCACCCTCACACCTCCCATCACCAGCACCATCACCACCGTCTCCATGAGCACCGTCACTGTCATGATCATCACCCCATGACCACTGTCACTACCACCATCACCATTACTACCTCCATGATCACCATCACTGTCATCATTACCCCATGACCACCATCACTACCACCATCACCATCATCACCATCACCACTACTACCACCACTACTTCACTGCCGTCACCATCACCATCACCATTGTCACTATATGCTTCCCCTTCACCATTATTACCACCACCCCCTTCTCCTTCACTAGGACTATCACCACTTCCACCACCACCATGACCACCATCACTACACTGGCGACTACCATCAACATCGACACCACCACTACTGCCGCCACCATCACCACTTCCTTCCCCTTTCTTATCACAACCACTGTCCCCCTCTCCACACCTGCCATCTTTACCATCTCACCCACTATGGCCATGATCCCACAGCCTTCATCCCCACTCCAGCACCATGATATCCCTCACCATCTTTACCATTATTATCACCATGGCCTTCCTCACTATGGGCTAGGTGTAGGGGGCCTCTTGTGCTCTTGGGGCTTGAGCCTTACCTTGCCCACATAATGGGGGAGTGGGGCAGTTTTCTCTTCAGCAATATGCATCTGGTTCCAAATCCAGTCTCTCTTCTGGCGCTGGTGGGAGGGCAGCTTGCTGGGCATGTCTAGCTGGGCAACATCTGTGGTTCCTATAGATGTTGCCAACAGACCTAGGCAGATGCCCAATGCGATGAACACCATCCTGAGTGTCTGCATCTTCCCAGAGGGACAGATCTGGGAGAGAGGAGAGGCACCATCAGAGAATGGTTTTTGCTGCCCTAGGGTGTGGATGGTGCCCAGCAAGAACCAAAATTCCTTCATCTGTTCACTCTTTCATCCTTTCCTCTCTGCTCATGCCAGTGGGCCCAGACCCTGCTCTTCCCCAAGCAGCTCCCAGTCTGGAGCAGGGCAAGATGGATGCAGAGACAACTCCGACTTAGGTGCTGTCACCTGCACTGAGCTGGAAAGCAGCATGGTGGGGATGATTCTGATGCTGAGCGGCTCTCAAAGCCCTGTGCCGTGGGTCTCAGGTATCCCCATTTTACAGATGAGAGAAGCATGGCACAGAGAGGTGACGTACACACTGAAGTATGCGTTAGGGCTGCAAATGACGTCTGTCTGACTTCAGAGGCGAATGTTTGTAGAGCGCTTAGTGTTTGGCTGACACTGAGTCAAGCACTTTCCATCTGTTTTCTCGTTGTATCTACTCAGTAGCCCTGAAGGTGGGTACCCATTGAACTCTCAGTTTATAGATGAGCTCAGGACCAGAGACATTTAGTAATGTTCCTGAGATCTCCCAGCCTGTAAGGAGAAAAGCCAGGATTTGAACCCCAAGTTCCTGATCTTTTTTTCCTACTGCTTTCCCTTGCCTTAGCAGTTGCCATGGGGTGGGACTTAAAAGGCTCTCTTTGAACACAAAGGCCCCCTCTAGGCAGCCTGAAAGCCCCTGCGGTGGATGTCTACACTCAGAGGGTCAGACCCTCACCCCCGAATCATACAAGTGGTCAGTTTAGGAGCTGTCACAGGATAGGGGTGGCCTGGGCAGGCATTCACGATGGTGACCAGCATGCTGAGCATCTTCCCAGGAGGGATGGGGCAAATGAGTGAGAGTCTGGGTTCACACGACGAGCTTCATAATTTTCAGTGCCCGGGGCAAAACGAAAGCACATTATTACACCCAGAACAGAGACAATTGAGCATTCAACCAAGTGTGGGGCTCTTCTACTTACAGGACCTTGTGGAGCTGAACAGATCGTGTGCCCTTGGAGCTAACCCTAGGGACTTGGGATTAGTCTGGACCAGGAGCTGGGCTCCTTCAGTGACCAGGGCCAGTGTTACCCTGAATTCTAGAACCAGGGCTTTTCCCCACTGCTCCACAGGGTCTGGAGGCCAGGGCGTTGGCCATTGCTGTGCCCTCTCAGCCTTGACCCTGCTAGCCCCTGTGTCACTGACCTGTGGCTCCTGGGATGGTGCAGGGGAAGAAGGCAGGTATGTGGGAGCGGGACCCAGGGCTTGTGCCTGCAGAGGCCCGGAGCTCACTGGGTGCGGATGGGGCCTCCTCCTCCAGCCATCCCTACCCACCCAGGCTTGTGGAGGAGGCTGGGTTTCTGTACATCACAGGATTTCTAAACTCTGGTAACATTTCCCCCAAATCACTGGCGCCAGTAACTGCACTGGATCCGCTGACCTTAGCACCCAGGCCCCAGTGCTCTGGACTGACCTCTGTCTCAGGGGGAAGTGGGGACCCAGAGGTGGATGGGAAAGAAACGTTCCAGCAGGCCCCCAGAATGAAAGTGGTATGGGCCTCAGTTTCCTCGGTCATAAATGAGGGATCCAATTGGGAAATAGCAGGAGCCTTTTGAGGTAGGATGTAGGAAAGACAGGGCCAGGCAGTGGACAAAGGCTTGAAGTAGGGAGTGGGTGGGGCATCGAGAGTCCTGGTCAGGAAGCTGCTCCTGACTCAGGGGAGGTAGTAAGCATGACTTCTGCGCTCGCCTCACTGTGCCCAGGCCCTGGGTGTCATTTCCTTTTTTTCCTGGAAAGGAAATCCAAGTCTGGGCTCTTTCTTCCTCTCTCAAGTGAACAACAACAAAAAGGCAAACAGAAGTGAAAATGAGAAAGAAGAGGGGAGAGTTTTCAGGCCGAATGTTGAGCGCTTACTATACAGGTACCAGGGTATAGCAGTGAGTGGGCCGCAGACAGGACCCTGCCCTCAGGGAGCATGTACTCTCCTGAGAACAATAGAAAGATAAATGGACAAGGAGAAGCATCAGCTAGTGATCTGAGATGTTCAGGTGTCTGAGAGACTGAGGGAGCAGCTGGCTGATGCTGTGAGGGGGGCGAAGGCCTCATTGAGGAGATGACATTTAAGTCAACATCTGAGTGGCATGATGTATCAACCTTAAGGATGCCAGGGGAAGGGAGGGCATTCTGTTACAGAAGGACCAGCAAGTACAAAGGCCCTGAGGTGGAAAAACGGCTGAATTTGAAGAAACAAAAGGAGTCTCCTGGGTCAGATGGAAATGAGCGAGGGCGAGTGGGGTACAGGAAGACCATGTTAGTAAGGTGGACTGAATGATGCCCCACTCCCTGCCCCAAATACCAAAGGAGCTCTGGTAGTGTAGAGGTTACAGGTCGGGCTGCTAACCTCAAGGTCAGCAGTTTGAAACTACCAGAGGTTCCATGGGAGAAAGATGTGGCTTTCTGCTCCCATAAAGATTTACAGCCTCGGAAACTCTATACAGGGTCATTGTGAGTGGGAACTAACTCCCCGGCACATCACTACCACCACCTCAAATGGCATGTCCTAATCCTTATAATCTGTAACTTGTTGTTTTTGTTGTTAAATGCCGTCGAGTTGGTTCCGACCCATAGCGACCCTGTATAGGGTTTCCGAGGCTGTAAATCTTTACGGGAACAGAAAGCCTCATCTTTCTCCTGCGGAGCAGCTGGTAGTCTCGAACTGCTGACCCTAAGGTTCGCAGCCCGATTCGTAATCACTACGCTGTGTTATTAAGTGCTGTTAAATCAGTTCCAACTCAGCGATCTTGTATAGGGTTTCTGAGGCTGTAAATCTTTGTGGGAGCAGAAAACCTCATCTTTCTCCCATGGAGCGACTGGTGGGCTCAAACTGCTGACCTTGTGTTCACAGGCCAGTGCTTACCCTCTGTTGTTGCTGTTGTTGTGTGCTGTGGAGTCGGTTCTGACTCATAGCGACCCTGTACAGGGTTTCCAAGGCTGTAAATCTTTACGGGAGCAGAAAGCCTCATCTTTCTCCTGTGGAACTGCTGGCAGTTTTGAACTGCAGGTCTTGTGGTTCACATCCCGATTCATAACCACTATGTTACCAGAGTTCCTTACCCTCTAGAGCCACCTTAATGGGAAAAGGAATATTGTACACGTGATTAAGGCTCTTGTGATGGGAAGATTGCCCTGGTTTATCAGGGTGGGCCCAGTGTCATTCCAAGGCTCCTTTTAGAGGAGGGGTGGTCAGTCAGAGAAAAGGAGATGTGTGGACAGAAGCAGAGGTCAGCACGTTGTTCACATTCATGTACAACAGTAACAGACCTGCCTTTCAGATATACTTTCTTACTGACCTCCCACATGATTCCCGGGAGGTAGAAACTACCATCCCCACTGCACAGATGAAGAAACAGGCCCAGAGACTCATAAGTAGTGGATTTGGAACCCTTAGCCAGATCTATCGCCTCAAAATTTGGGATTCTTCTCCACCCAGCCTTTGCAGGCCCTTTCCACATCTTTTTGCCTTTTGGGTTAGAAACTTGGCTGCTAAAATAGGGTTGGCCAGAAATGGTTTTTGTTGACAATCATTGCTCCTCCTGCGCATGGAGAGGATGGAGGGGCAGTTGGGTCTGACAGGATCTGCTGTTACCTGAGGGGTGAGAGAATGTCCTTTGGCTGAAGACTGTGGAAGAACTGGTGCATTTGAGTTCTGGTGTTGGAGGAGAATATTAAAAATGCCATGCATGGGCTGCCAGAAGAACCAATAAATCTGTGTTGGAAGAAGAGCAGGCAGATTGCTCCTTGGAGGCCAGGATGGCCAGACTTGTTCTCTCATACTTCAGACATATTATCAGGAGGGACCAGTCCCGGGAGAAGCACATCATGCCTGGTAAAGTGGAGGGTCAGTGAAGAAGAGGAAGACCCCCAAGGAGATGGCCTGACACAGTGGCAGCAGCACTGGGCTCAAGCATTACAAGAGTTGTGAGGATGATGCAGGCAGTGTTTCGTTTTCTTGTGCACATGGTTGTATGAGTTAGAACTGACACCATGGCATCTAACAGCAACAACAACATCAAGCAGTCTGTGGGGGCATGGTCAGAGCCACAGCTGGCTAGCACTTACTGCTGCCGATTTCCTTGAAACTCAGTCATGTGTCTTGGTTGCTTTTGGGTGGATGTGGGCACCACAGAGCCCAGAGGGACTGAGGATTTTGCCAGTGATGGCTGTGCCCACATCCCTCCAGTAGAGCCGCCTGGGAACTTGCCTGACAGCAGTGGGGAGCCAAGGGATCACACTGAGCAGTACCAATGGGCATGTAGGGCTTGCCAAGCCCAGGGGTCTGCCCACGTGCCTGTCACTCAAGATCCAGGTTGATGCCCCTCTCCTTGAGACCACGTGAGAGGTCTTTGGGACCAGCTCAGATGGACTTGGGAGAAGGAAGACAAGGCTCTCTGTGCCTTCGGTCAGCCTGGGTTGGTCCTGGGGGCTCTAAATCAGAAGGCAGAGTTAGTGGCCCTAAGCTCCTAGTAAGTGGCATGGGAGCCAGGATAAGGGTTAGGGAGTCCCTGAGAACCCTAAGACAGTGGGGTTTACCCCTGCCAGATGGGAGGTCAGGAGCTTGGAGAGCTCCCAGTATTGGGGCTGTGTGTTCATAGGGGGATCACAACCTGGAAGCTAGGCGAGGGTGAAAGTTAAGGGGTTGCTGCAAAGGCTGAGCCAACAGATCATCCTGGGAGCAGAGCTGGTGCTCCGAGCCCATGTCTGCTCCTTCCCAGTTACCTGTGAGGCTCAGTGGGGCTTGGTGAGCAGCCCAGCCCCACTAGGCTTAGCACACTTCTCATTCTCTTCTCTTCCTGAAAATGCTACTCATCTTCCATGTCACCATCTCTCTTAACGATCTGGGATCATGCAGTCACTCAACTGATCTTGAGTGTACCCTGGTGGCACAACGGTTAAGTGCTCAGCTGCTAACCTAAATTAAAAGCTGGCAG